TTTTTTTTTGCAAAAAAAAAAACAGTGTGGGAGCAGATGGACTTTGCCTAGGAGACAGATGTATCATATGGATGCTGCCACTGAGAATACTGTCCTGTCCACAGTCTGGAAGTTAACTACTCTGTAGGGCCACAAGCAAGCCCCCCCCCCCCCGGTTGTCACTGGTGTACAGATTGGATGGGCCTTGGGGAAGCAACATCAACTCCTTAAATTGGGTCTTGTAGCTCATAGTCAGTGCAGCATTTAGCACCAGAGTTACATCACTCCCATTTAAGCAGCCCCACTTAAGAATTGGGCAGCTACATTCTGTATCAGAGATTCTTGAACAGTGCCACAAAGAGCACGTTTCATCCCACCTAAGTGTCTGCAGAGTGGCAGAAACAGTACTAACATATATGGGCCCATTGGCCTGGCCAAGCCTGTTACACTTCTCAGAGAAAGAAGAGGACATTTATAAAACAGTATCATTTATCAGAATTTTGGATTTCAAAGTCATGCAAGGTTAAACTGAATTATTTGAGATGATTTGTCAAATGGGCATCTAGAGTGAAATAATAATAATAATACAGCTTCTGAAACTAGAGCATTTCAGATTGCAGGTGGTTATATGTCTGAATGGTTCCCACTATCCAAACCTCACTCTCTATAGAACTAGCACATCAAAGATACATTCACCATCTCCTTCTCACTCAGATTCATGTCAGTCCAGTGATGCCACTTCCCCCTTTCATGATGCGATACAACTTTAGGAACAACTAAATAAAAACTTAATATGGATGTTATGCTGTGTTTACATCAAGGAACTTAATCATAGATCAAACTATTTAACTCATGATATGACAAACTATGCCATAATTAGAGAAGCTAAGGAGATGCGACTTGTAGTTTCTTTCACACATTTTAGAACGACACTGTAAAGCTCTAGGCAAGAAATTAGAACCTGTGAACCTTCAGGATTCGCTAAACTACAACTTCCATCACCATTGGACCTGCTGGCTATGGATGGTGGCCTCATAATATCTACAGAGTCAGAGATTCCTCCCCCCCACTTCCAGAACAGCATCAACAGTTGGCCTTAGCAATAACATCTTTCTCAGTGAAGGCAGTCAGAGAAGGAGTAGTTCTCTCCTTAGATAGTGTGTATGTTCCTTATGTGCAAGCTGTTTATTATACGTGTGCTGTCCCCTTATTTTCCATTCAAGGTTGTCTAGCTCTTCTCCAAATGCCTCTCTTGTGGTTTTAATAGAAGGACAAGTTGCCCAGCAGAGACCTTGTGCAGCCACTGGATCCTGCAGTAGAGAAGAAAAAGCAGCTGTTGGCCAGTGAGCAATTCTGGCTATCAGCAGGCCTAGAAATGTACAGATGATTTACCCTTTGGCTCCTTTAGGCAGCACAGTCCCAGGCCAGCTGGAACGCACCAATGCAAGCTGTGCCTCCCACCCCAAGCAACTGGGCAGCAGGCTGTCTGCTCTGGGGCTGCAGGGAGAATTGAATGTGTGCAGCAACAATGCAGATCAACCATCAGAGCATCTGTGCTTTCTACCTTTCTTCTGGAGGTAAATTAGCTCACCCTCCTGCAATCTGGGCATCTTGATGATAAACAAAAGCATATCATATTGCAATAAAATAAAATATCAAATATATGGCTTTGTATGTTTTTTTTTCAAGGAACTAAACATGTCAGCGTTCCAATTTACTCCTTTTTCATCATCAGGGAGAGCTTTGTTACCACTGCTTCTCTTGCTCTTTGATTCTGTGCACATCCTTCAACACAAGCCACTATTTCTGCTGCCAACAAAAATACTTACCTCTCTTCTTAAGTTAGAAAGCAGCAAACTCATACAGTCTTGAATTCTTTTAGATAAGTCAGAAGGGATCCAGAATTCTGTATGTGTGTGACATTTCAGATGCCCATATTTTGCAAAGGTCTAACATTTATTTTGTGCCTTCCAACAGCCTACCCTAAATTGGTGTCCTCCAGATATATTGAAAATCCTGGGTGTTGTAGTCCCAACATGATTAGCAGATGCCAGACTGGGATAGACTGTTTTAAGCTTAACCAACACACCAAGGCAGGCATGATGTACGCAGTGCCACGTTTTCAACCGTTCATCCACTCTACCACACGTCCTTGCCTTGGGATGGCTGTTTTAAATGTATACAGGGGAAGCTTTAGGAATGCTCAGTTCTGCCTGTCTCATGTGACTTTCTTCTTAATGCCATGCTTACTGAGGTTTCCTTTAACGGAAATGGAATATGACATTTCAGCACATCTGTCCCTAAATCAAGGGATTATGGCATGCAACAATGCACATGTGACTATATTCAGATGCCCCGGTATTTTACAGGGAATTTTTTTGTGCTCCTGGCTCTGAATCCCAGCTTAGAACTGAAGCTATTGAAGCTTCATAACTCAGTAACTTTCAGCTCCATTGGTCAAAAAGTGTTCTGTATGAACAGTAGCTCCACCTGAACTACATGCTAAATTTGAGTAATTTTAACAAAGGTTGGGTTTCACTGTCGTTTCTGTGGCTCACTGTATTATGTAAACCCAGATAATGTGATTATTTTATAGTTTGGGTTGTGAGAGCCCGACCAAGTGGGTAAATTCAATCAGCCAAGGTTAAAAAATTACCCACCTTAGCATGTAGTGCAAATGTAGACAGTGATGCCCAGCTTGGTTCATCTTTCATTCTATCCAGAGAAAAGTTCCGAAATTTCACAAAGCCCTTTAAAGAACAAACATTTTACATGTTCAGTTGCAGTTGCACACTATGAGAGCAGGGGAGTAATACAGCACCTAATACCTTTGTTCCATCACGCAACATCTAAGACTTCCATGGCATATCTAAAACTTCTAATATGCCACAATGGCAGAGTCACATCTTATAATGATTCTATTCTCAACATTTCCTCACTCCTTTGTGGAAAAGGTGTAATGGAAACAATAGTCTCCCCAGGGCATGTTAAATCAACAGCCATCAGCTGGGATGTCCTGATTCCTTTGCTTGAAAGTCAGAAACTCCCTGAGAAGCTTGTTCTGTGGTTGAAGTGCTCTTGCAGTTTAGATGTTTCTCTTTACTGCTGAACATAAATCTAAGAGCTTTTAACTCCAGCTCACTTTTTTTCCTTTCCTATTCTAAACAACATCTCTTTTGAATAATTATCCCCCTTCTTCTCTCTGACATCCTTTAAAATACTTATAAACAGCAAATCTGTTATTACTTTCAAAGTCATCTTTCTGTTGATTTTATGTAAGCAGTTTCTTAGCCATTTTTGGGGGGCCCTTATAACTTCTTTCAGCCATACTGAAAGGGCTACTCTCAGAGGTTAAAAGAAGAGTTTTAACCTTTCTTCTTTTTTCTTTTGCAAAAAGGAATGCTGCTTTGAAAATCGGATTTTCATTGATAGCTGTGGCAAGAAATTCTACTATGGAGAATACAGAGGCAGGGAGAGGGATGAAGTTGGCAGTCTTGACTGTGAAATCAAAGCCCCATCCCCTTTTAATATATTTTAGTGCACATAAGCAGTTGTAGCCACCATATTGACTTTTTTTACCCCCTGCAGATACCCTTGGAAGGAAAGTAAGAAAAAGATGAAAACTGCAATCCCATATAAGAGAAGAAATCCTATGGGAAATGTATTACAGGCACCATAGGATAGAGCCTAACTTTATTCCTCCCTTGCCTAGCAAAGCTTGGTGGTTCCTTGTATGGAGTCTCTCTTGTTGGACTATTTTCTCCATAATTTATTTTGCTCATAATACTTCTCATCAGTCCAAACCTAAGTGATTGGTTCTTTCGGCTAAACTCTTGAATTGGTCATCATAGAATTGGTCAACTTGTCTAAATCTGTCCCATTTGAATCAGCATTTCAGTTGTTTTATCTGAGAATTGTATGTGTTGACAATAACAAAAGTCATAGATAATGGAGTAATGTTGCTTAACCACATACAGAGATATGCAGTTATTCTAGTTTTCCTTTTCCAATCTCACAAAGTGCCAAATTACTCAGCCATTCACTTGCACAGACAAGTTGATGTTTACTGGCCAGTCTAGATCCCTCCTTTCAGTCTGGAAAAGTTTGTATGAGGCTTCCACATCCAGCCGCTGAGCATCTTCGCCCTTATTTCCCAAAAACTGTCACATGCAGTACAGGTTGGATTATAAGACCTCCAAGGTTCCTCCCAACTGTATGATACTATGGAATCTCCAATTGTCAGTTTCAACTGCCATCCATCAGTAACCCACTAAAGATCGTGTTGAAATCAGGGCAAACATCTCCTTTTCTTCTGGAACCAAAACATGTATAGCTTAAATAATATATGGAGATCAGTTGCCTTCCACAACAACAAAATCATTGGCCCTTGTGATGGTTCTGCCTCCCACTGCTTACCCACTGACTTCACTCTTGAAATCTTGATTTTATCACAATTTGCCATTAAAAACAAGCAAAACAGTGATAGCTTTGTTGGTTTGTTAGGAAAACAAATCAGAAATCCATGGTTGGCCAATACCTTTATTGGGCAAACCAAAAGAGCAGATCAGTATTCTTTGGAACTCTATCAGTGAGATGGCAAAAAAATAAAATAAAATAAAATAAAATAAAATAAAATAAAATAAAATAAAATAAAAAATAAAATAAAATAAAATAAAATAAAATAAAATAAAATAAAATAAAGAAGAAGAA